GTTGGGGTATCGAAGTAAGGGGTTTAAACAGTTTAGATTCAGAAAATTACGTTTAGATGTGTCGTATTTATAGCTTATTCAGGGATATAATTAAATAAGCCCCCCCAGTGGCACAGCGGTATGTCTGCGGACTTACAACGCTAGAAACCGGGTTTCGATACCCGTGGTGAACAGAGCACAGATAGCCCATTGTGTAGCTTTGTGCTTAATTACAAACAAACAAACAAACAAATACTCCTTTCTCAGTGAAATTAAACAACTGTTTATGGTTGGGGTATCGAAGTAAGGGGTTTAAACAGTTTAGATTCAGAAAATTACGTTTAGATGTGTCGTATTTATAGCTTATTCAGGGATATAATTAAATAAGCCCCCCCAGTGGCACAGCGGTATGTCTGCGGACTTACAACGCTAGAAACCGGGTTTCGATACCCGTGGTGAACAGAGCACAGATAGCCCATTGTTTAGCTTTGTGCTTAACTTCAAACAAACAAACAAACCCCCCAGTGGCACAGTGGTATGTCTGCGGACTTACAACGCTAGAAACCGGGTTTCGATACCCGTGGTGAACAGAGCACTGATATCCCTTGTGCATAATTTACAAATAAATAAAACACATAGTTTGTGATGAAAACTAAAATGAGTTTAAAGCTCAGCCGAACTCAAATTTTCTGTGATATTTTGGGTTTGAGTTTCAAATTATAGTATAATAATTATACTATAATTTTACTAATTATTCAAATTATAGTATATTATAATTACTTTTATCGTCCGCTGGAAACATTTCACGAATTGTCATTTTAATGCAAGCTTTAAAAAATTCTTCAGATATGTATCCTTTGGTGATGTATTTTCGGGTAGACCTGGCGAATTTTCGCCCACATGACCTGCTAAAAAGTAGATAATTTCGCTTAAACAGAAGACGATTTTGTTCTCAAGAGTTTGGCTTGTTCAAGTAACTTTTAACTAAAGAGTTTGGCTTGCTCAAGTAACTTTTAACTAAAGAGTTTGGCTTGCTCAAGTAACTTTTAACTAAAGAGTTTGGCTTGCTCAAGTAACTTTTAACTAAAGAGTTTGACTTGTTCAAGTAACTTTTAACCAAAGAGTTTGACTTGTTCAAGTAACTTTTAACTAAAGAGTTTGGCTTGTTCAAGTAACTTTTAACTAAAGAGTTTGACTTGTTCAAGTAACTTTTAACCAAAGAGTTTGACTTGTTCAAGTAACTTTTAACTAAAGAGTTTGGCTTGTTCAAGTAACTTTTAACCAAAGAGTTTGACTTGTTCAAGTAACTTTTAACTAAAGAGTTTCGTTTGTTCAAGTAACTTTTAACTAAAGAGTTTGACTTGTTCATGTAACTTTTAACTAAAGAGTTTCGTTTGTTCAAGTAACTTTTAACAAAAGGAGAACCTTAATGTTTCCAATTTCAATTTATTGAAACTTCTCCTATTTCAAAATCATCATTAAGCTCATATTGTTTTCTATTCGTGATTTTTGTTTATTTATTATATATTTGTTTGTTGCTGAGAGCAAAGTTGCACAATGGGATATCGGTGCTGTGTATCGAAACCCGGTTTTTAACATTATAAGTCTTCAGACTTGCTTTTAATGATCCCATTCGTACACCAAACATGGGAACTATCATATATTAACAACAAATATTTTATTTTTTGACACCTTATTTTCACTCACAAAATTATTTTATTTAAAAATCTCTTTTTTTTTTTTGGACAAAGTGACTTCAGACACCAGTCTTTTTTTATTCCATATTTTTAAAGTAATTCTTAGCTGAATTATGGACTTTCTGGAGTGTTGGAACTTATCCACTTGTGTGTGTGTCACGAAACAAGCACGTAGAGTGGTGGTTGGTTTGTCACGGGTGTTTTTGGTACATATTTTCCTCGTATAGCCCCCCAATAAACTTCTACTCATAGGCGGTGGAACATATAATAATTTTTCGGGGGGAGGGGCACCAACAATTGGGGGCACCTGATTTACTAACTGTGACCATTGCATTGAGAAGAGAAACAGATACTTTCCGTGGTAGTTGTACACAAGTTTTTATTTCCCATTCGTAGAGACACTTCTTTCCCATTCGTAGAAACACTTCCTTCCCATTCGTAGAGACACTTCCCACCCACCCACCTATATATCTGCCGCCTCTGCTTGTACTTTTTGAAATTACTTACAAATTAACAGATTTATAATCTACAAAGTCAATTATTTCCATATGTGACTCTGCTAACTGTCAGTATTAATTATTCTCAAACCTGCATGGATGTGGATATACTGTCTGAGAGTGATAGCTGTTTTAGAGCTAATGCAAAATGTACACACCTTATCTGTATTATATTTAATTAAATTAAAATATGTTCTTTCTGTGGATAGTTTCTTATTTAATGTTTCTGTTCCTAAAAAAAACTAATGTGTTTTCGCTCAGAATGCTAGAGTTTTAAACAATAAAAAAAGGAAATATTAATGAAGCAAGTGAATTTAATACCACCCTTCGCTTTACAAAATATAATAAGGAAGACATAACAATATAATATAATAACACAGCCTTGTAACTATGAATATAATAACACAGCCTTGTAACTATGAATATAATAACACAGCCTTGTAACTATGAATATAATAACACAGCCTTGTAACTATGAATATAATAAAACAGCCTTGTAACTATGAATATAATAAAACAGCCTTGACACTATGAATAGAATAACACAGCCTTGTAACTATGAATATAATAACACAGCCTTGTAACTAGGAATATAAAAACACAGCCTTGACACTATGAATATAATAACACAGCCTTGTAACTATGAATATAATAAAACAGCCTTGACACTATGAATAGAATAAAACAGCCTTGACACTATGAATATAATAACACAGCCTTGACACTATGAATATAATAACACAGCCTTGTAACTATGAATATAATAAAACAGCCTTGACACTATGAATAGAATAAAACAGCCTTGACACTATGAATATAATAACACAGCCTTGTAACTATGAATATAATAACACAGCCTTGTAACTATGAATATAATAACACAGCCTTGTAACTATGAATATAATGAAACAGCCTTGACACTAGGAATATAATAACACAGCCTTGTAACTATGAACATAATAAAACAGCCTTGTAACTATGAACATAATAAAACAGCCTTGACACTAGGAATATAATAACACAGCCTTGTAACTATAAACATAATAAAACAATCTTGACACCAGGAATATAATAACACAGCCTTGTAACTATGAACATAATAAAACAGCCTTGACACTAGGAATATAACAAAACACCTTGGTAACTATGAATATAATAAACAGTCATCACAATATATATAAAACAAACGTCACAATAGATGCAAGACAATAAGATTTACAATATATATCAAAAGGCCTTGACAAACTTTGTATAGTAAAAAAGCATTGACAGAATCTAAAATAAAACAGGCCTGACTAGACGTGTAACAAAATCGCCTTAACAGTACATCAAGACACACGCTAGTGTGTCGTGCGGCCAAAACAACCTGCAGGACACACCGTGTGTTATTAACAGTTTAGCAACTTTCCACTCGGACTGTGATAAGCCAAACTCATATATTTTCTGTGAACCCTTACTTTGTTCACCTATTAAATTACAAGGTAATACATTAAGGAATACACGAGATATAAAATCTCCAATTTTCTCTGACTTTCTTCCTTTTTGTTTTTCTTCGCACCGAAAGTACGGAAAATTTATTTGACAGAAAAACATACTTAACTTTCATGGATGTTTTTTAAAGTTTGATTCACTGATAGATCTTTATAACCTACAATTAGGTGTCAAATTGGTAGCTACACTTACAGCATTAATAAGAATTTTACAGAAAATATTCATTTATTAGTTAGCCAAGCCGCCTATTTTGTTTAACTTGGGGCATGATGGTGGGTTTTTGTTCAGAATAGTCTTCTAAATTTTTATTTTCAATGTGAATGTTGTTTCGTTTGAGTTTGGAAGAAAATATAACCATACAAATACACACTAAAACAGAACTTATATAATGATATAACGTTATTCTTGTGATGTATGTTGTTCCTACGTTTCAACAGTTTTCACTCTTCCTGTCGAATGTTCGTATATCAACAGACACATCGTCATCTTGGATGTTGTTCCTACACTTCAATAGTCCTAACGTTTCCACGGTTTACAAGATATATCAACAGACACATCGTCATCTTGGATGTTGTTCCTACGTTTCAACAGTCTTCACTCTTCCTGTCGAATGTTTGTATATCA